TGAATGGTTGATTCTGAAAATAAGTTTAAATATAGCAACAGCATCTTTCTTAGGAAACTATGACAGGCAAGCTGACACATTTATATTTAATTTTGAAATAGCAATTTCTGCTATAATTAGATGACCTGTTGTTGGAAATTTGCCTTTATCCCATATTAGGAGGTAGAGCTCAGTATTTTTTCATAGCCAGATACATACCAGGGTACAGTAGAATGTGCAAACAATTCCTGTTGCAAACACAGAGCCCCAGAGATCAAACCCCGTCACTATGAAAGGAGAAAAATATGTTATAAATGAGCCTCTCGAAGGAAAGTAAAAGAACAACTTTTATGGAGGAATCGTTATGATTTTTCCCTCTTTTTTTTTTTGTCAAAATTCTTTGTAGGAAAAGGGAAATCAAATTAGAGTTTTTACCCTGAAATATTCTCACCTCTGATAAGGATTGTTTCATACTTCAAATCAGTCCATAAAGTACATAATGTTGAAAACCAAATTGTCCTACTGAGATTCTGTAACTTCTAGCTTATTTCTAATTGTTTTTATCTTGGCAGAGTTAGTTCTAGTATTTTGAAACTACATAAATATCTTCCATGCATTAATATTTCTCAATTTAAGCACTTAGCCTAGTTAAAATGAAGGTCAAGGTTTCTATATTATGGACATCATTGTAGTTTGTCTTCAATTTTTTCCCTTTTGTTTTTGTTTCTATGATTCTATTCTCTTGAAAAGGTAAATGTTAAATCTTAAAGCAATTATTATAAGCATCTTTCAATCTTGTCCTCAGATTATGTCCTTTGTGAAATCACAGAGAAAGAACAATATTATAGGTGGTCTTCTCTGTACTTGTGCATATAAAATATGAAAATTCCATCATTTCTGTGATTGAAAAACAAACAAAAATCATCAGTTTTAAAACATGGAGAGGGAAAATTAAGTAACTAATTGTTTGCATCATTTTTAATATTTGATCAATTTTAGAGTTTAATGTGGTGATTACTACTGTAACTTACAGCACTTAATCTTAGGAATGTCTCTCCAATGATGCATTTTATCTATATTTCTCCAAAGCATGAAATCTGGCACAAAAATGGTGCATTGTCGTCAAAGGAGTGTCTATACTCACCTTGATTGAGTGCCAGAGCAGGAGCATACACCACTACTCCTGTGTAGAGAATCTAGAGGAGAAGCGGGAACAAAGTGAACAGAGAGAAGGGTGACATAGAAGGGGAAGCTGCCTAGAAATTTAGCACTTTCTTCAACTTGTGCACCAAACATTTTATTCACATCCACTCTAATTTTGAAGTGTTGACAACTATAACTAATTTGCAGAGGGCATGTAAAGTTTATTTGGGAGAAGAGGACTAGACATTTAAGGCTGCTGTCAATTTTGAGACTTTGTAACTAGATTTGGTATATTTCTAAAAGATATAAAAATAAGCTTAAACTGAAGTGTTTGATTCAGCCTCTCTCTACCCACTGCTCCCATGCCTGCATGCTTCAGTAGGATGTCTGTTGACTTTATGACATTTACCGAATAACACAAACTCAGAATTGCAATATCTACCATGACAGTAATGGGGTCAGTTCCCATTTTATTTCAAATGGAATCCTACAAATTAGAGATATATATGAGGTTTTTTAACAGGCAAACACCTTAGTTAGTGGTCAAGGCAAGGAGCACTGCTTTCCTCCATTCCCTCACCTAAATTATTCAGTCAGTCATTGAGTGGAAGTTTTGACTGAGAATAGAGATGAAGATTATCTTCTAGCAGAAAACATTTGTTCATTCGTGGGAAACACAACAACTGTGTGCCACAGGTAAGCTTGGGGAAGCAAGAAGGCACCTTGAAGCTGGGAAGTGTCCATAAGAAATAAATTGGAGCATTGTCTTATTGTAAAATGTTTTTTAGAAAAATAGGTATTTCTGGTTGACCTCAGTAAGTAGTATACATATTTAAAAAAAAAAAAGAAAAAAAGACAAAAAACAAAGCAAAATGAACAAACAAACAAAAAGATAGTTATCATTCAATCTCCAAAACAAAATGTACAGGTGGAATAAGAGGGTAAAATATGTTTTAAGAAAATGCTTTATGCATGACTTATGATATACTATAATATACATTTATTTATTGGCTATTCTCAAAATATTGAATGATGCAGGAAGCATTGAAAGAAGATGGAAGGAATACAGAGAGTCACTGTACAAAAAAAAAAAAAGGTTGATATTCAAGGATCTCAGGAGTAGACATATGATCAAGAACCAATGATATTGAATGAAGAAGTTGAAGCTAAAGGAATGGGCAAAAAGCAATGCTCCAGAAATTGACAGACTACCCACTGAGGTGTTTTGACAAACTGATGCCACCCTGGAGGCACTTATTCATCTATGCCAAATAATTTGGAAGACAACTACCTGGCCAACTGAATGGAAGAGATGAATATTTCTACCCATTTCAAAAAAAAGGTCGTCTAACAGAATGTGTAAATTATTGAACAATATCATTTATATCACATACAAGTAAAATTTTGCTGAAAGTGATTCAAAAACAGTTGCAGCAGTATATTGACAGGGAACTTCCAGAAATGCAAGCTGGATTCAAAAGAGGACGTGGCATGAGGGATATCATTGCTGATGTCAGATGGATCATGGCTGAAAGAATACCACAAAGATGTTTACTTGTTTTGTATTGACTATGCAAAAAGCATTCAAATTTGTGGATCATAACAAACTATAGGTAACATTGAGATGAATGGGAATTCCAGAACACTTAATTGTGCTCATGAAGAACCTGTAAAAAGACCAGGAGGCTGTCATCAGAAAAGAACAAGGGTATATTGCATGATTTAAAACCAGGAAAGGTGTGTATCAAGGTTGTATGCTTGTACCACAATTATATCTATTCAACCTATGTACTGAGAAAATAATCTGTGAAACTAGACTACACCAAGAAGAACATGGCATCAGGATTGGAGATTAACAACCTGCAAGATGCAGATGACACATCATTGCTTGCTGAAAGGGAAGATGACTGGAAGAACTTACTGATGAAGATCAAACACTAGTCTGTAGTATGGATTACAGACTTGTAGTATGGATAAAGAAAACAAAAACCCTCATAAATAAAGAATTAAGCAGCATTATGATAAATGGAGAAAAGATTGAAGTTGTCAAAGATTTCATTTTACTTGGATCCACAATCAACACCCATGGAAGCATCAGTCAAAAAATTCAGATGTCACATTGAACTGGACAAATCTACTGAAAAAGACCTCTTTAAAGTGCTGAAGAGCAAAGATGTCATTTTGAAGACTAGGGTGAGCCTTACCCAAGCCATGGTATTTTCAATCACCTCATATGCATGTGAAAACTTGGCAATAAATAAGGAAGACTGAAGAAGAGCTGATGCTTTTGAATTGTGGTGTTGACGAAGAATACTGAAAATACCATGGGTTGCCAGAAGAATGAACAAATCTGTCCTGGAAGAAGTGCAGCCAAATGCTCCTTGGAAATGAGAATGGCCAGATTTTGTCTCATACTTTGGTCATGTTGTCAGAAGGAACCATTCCCTGGAGAAGGATATCATGCTTGGTAAAGTAGAGGGTCAGTGAAACAGGGGAAGACCCTCAACAAGACGGATTGACACAGTGGCTGCAACAATGGGCTGAAGTACAGCAAGGATTGTGAAGATGGCACACAAACAGGCAGTGTTTTGTTCTGTTGTACGTAAGGTAGCTGTGCGACAGTGCCACGTCGATGGGACTTAACAACAACAACATTATTCTCAATGTAATCATAAATCTTAAAAGTGCTATCCTGGGAAGAATATAGTTCCCTTTAACTAAGTTCAAGGGTCAAGGGACCTCTTTAAAAAAAAAAAAAAGAACAAATCTGTGTCCTGTAACCCCGTCCTTTCCACATCTGTATTAACCCTTACTGCTTGCTTACCGTCTGCACAATGTAGATGACTGTTGCCACGTAGCGAACTGGTTTGTTGAATCGTAGTTCTAAGTACTAGAGAAAACAGAGAAGGATAGGCCAAGAGTAAGTGAGTTTTAGGTAAGAGCTGCTAAGAAGGTTGTCTTTTTCTTGGTATTAGTGTGAGGTTAGAGCTTTGGATTTATAATGTGATTTTATGCTATATATCCTTAGAAAGGAGTAGTAGTGCAAATAGATAAGCGTTCAACTACTAACCCAAAGGTTGCCTGTTCAAACCTACCCAGAAGTGTCTTATAAGAAAGGCTGATGATCTGTTTCTGAAAGGTCACAGCCTTGAAACCCCATAGAACACAATTCTACTCTGAGACACGTGGCGTTGCCAGGAACTGGACTTGACTTGGTGATACCTGGTTTCGTTTTTGTTTGTATGTTTCAGTCTTGGAATCAGTGGAATAAAGTGTTTTTTTTTTTTTTTTTTTTTTTTTTTAATCATGAAGTTTTAAATGTCAGAGGCTCAATTCCTGTTCAAGTGTCTCACCACAGTCAGAGAACATAAATGGATAATTTGAATAAAACTCTAGGGCTTCAGATTTTCTGCCCAACAGTCTACCATTTGGACACACTGAAGTCATTGTTTCCATTATATATACACTGCCCTACTTTTAACTCAGGGCCTCATTTACTGTTTCCTGAATTACTGTAGCTGCTCCCAAACTTTTCCTCCTGATTCCAGTTGAAATTAATTGTAATTTGTAAATTTCTCAAAGCAAAGCTCTGATCATGTCTATCTTTTGTTCAACATCTTTAATAATTTTCTATTGTCAACAAAATAGTGTGCATTTCTTGGCTTGCTATTCTAAATCCTCACTTGTCTTACTCACACCCTTCCTAGCCAAAATCACACCACTAACTCATCTGCCAGTTTGTTGTACTGTGGCAGCTTGCATGCCGCTATGATCCTGGAAGCTATGCCACTGATGTTTCAAATACCAAAAGGTTCATCCAGGGTGAACAATTTCCGCATAAATTCCAGACTAAGACAGACTATGTAGAAAGATCTGGTGAGTTACCCAATTAGACAATAACTGCCCTCACTACATTATACTCCAAACTGAAGTTACTGTTATTGGTCAACCAACGTATTTTGTACTTTTTAGTTCTTTTGTTTGTTTAGATAGATTTTTTCAATATGAGAGAGCCCTTTTTTTTTTTAAATTCTTAGTTATCTCTTAAGAAGGATCACCAATTTGCTACTCCTATGAAAATCCCCAGTAATACTTTCTCCTCTGAGCTCTTGTGACACTTATATTACACCTCATTCATGTACTCTAATATCTGCTTTGTTATATCTTTTAATTGGATTTGTTTATACCACTGTATTAACTTCCTTTGTCTACTGTAACAAATTACCACCAACTTGGTGACTTAAAGCAACACAATTTATTCTCTCACAGATATGGATACCCTTGGTGAAGGAAGAGATATGTTTTACGGTATCATACTTAACTTCCCTGAAACATAAACAATATTCCATTTTATTTAGTTTTATCTTCTTCTTTCATTTTATTTATTCATTCAGCAAAGATTTATTACCTGCCTTCTGTATTCATTCTGACACATGACAAGCAGATATGATATAATATATTCCCTAGAGGATGTTACAGATTAAAGAAGGCCAACATTAACAAAAGTTTATACTAATAAAAGTCAAGCCACCTTTGAGATTGTACTAGGAAGAAGAGTTACAGGGAACCGGGAGAGTGCTAAATAGCATGATGTGACTTAGAGTCAGGGGTCAGAGATCAGGAAAGTTTCTGTTAACTATTCTAGCAGACACTAAGATGCGTTTTCCAGTGCCTGAAAAATATGTATTAAATGAACCAAATGAAATTTAGCCTCTAAAAAGTAACAAAAGACTTGAGAGTTCAACTTGTGGTAGATTTTTTTTGTTACGTATTTCCTGTTTGAATTTGAGAAAAAGTCATTTTTATTATATTAGAGATTAGCTACTGATATGTCTTTTTCCTAGAAAAAGCTACTGATATGTCTTTTTCCTAGAAACTGTACATAATTGTTGCTACATGGCTTAAGGTGGGTACTTCTTTGAAATCCTACCAGGAACTTCTCTTGGTAGAATTGTGATTTCAATTTTACACTAATCCACACTTCCCAGTGCATTCTGCTCAATCTTTACCCCATCTCCTCCATGTAAAGAACCACTTTATTTTCAGACTTTCTCTCTTCATATAATGTATTCAGTAGACGGGAGCCAGATTATAGTCCAGTTTAAGGTACCAGGTTTAAGAGTTATTGTTACAGAAGTAGGAAAGTCAGTGAGGACTCACAGGTCTCAGGTATAATAGGATAGAAAACAACGTAAAACCTTTGTGGTAAGGACAACTTAGGTTCACATCCCATGCCTTTAGAAAGATATTTATTGCACTAAGCCTGGATTTTTCTCTTTCTAAAATGAACTCATAAGAAACAAACAGCACATTGTTGTTTAGGTGCAGTCAAGTTGGCTCCAATTCATTGTGACCCTATGTATGACAGAATGAAACACTGCCCAGTCCTGCACCAGCCTCACAATCCTTGCAATACCTGAGCCCATAATTGCAGCCACTGTGTCAATCCATCACATTGAGGGTCTTTGCCTTTTTCACTGACCCTCCTCTTTACCAAGCATGATATCCTTATCCAGGGAATGGTCCCTTCTGACAACATGACCAAAGCAGGTCAAATGAAGTCTGGCATTCTCACTTCCAACAAGCATTCCACATGGACTTCTTCCAGGCAGATTTGTTCATTCTTCTGGCAGTCCAGAGTTCAGCATTCTTCACCAACAACACAACTCAAAAGCATCAACTCTTCTTTAGTCTTCCTTATTCTTTGCCCAGGAGCTCTGGTAGCGTAGTGCCTAAGGCACTTGACTGCTAACCA